AAAATTCATACCAAACACACCCTTCAGAATTATTACTCCCTTTGTTTCAATTTATGTTATACCCTTTTGTTTTTAATTTATTCCAAAAGAATGTCACGTTTCTATTATTAGGAACAACTTTATTTTAAAAAAAAATCTTTTATCTTTAATGAAATGATTCATACCACGCATATGAATTATAATTAAGATTTGTTTAGACTACAAATTTCAAAAATCTTCTTTTCTCTATTAAATTTTATATTAAATTGAATAATATCACATAAATTAAGGCAAAATGAGTCACGACAAGCTAAGGGTATACAATTATACATATTGTGTATCCATAAGCTTTTGGGGTAGTGTCGCAATCACCTTTGAGTGAGAAGATATATACCTTCTCCTTTGGTGAATTTCCCTTTGAGCCTAGTGGACTCTATTGGCCAATCATCATATTCATATAAACGGAAGTAAGGTTGTCAAATGGCGGGTTGAATTGAAATTGGAGATATTAAAAGAAATAGAAATTGAGTTGAGTCTTAACCCGTCTAAGTTTACTTTGGGCTCAAATGAGTTTAAAAACGGATTGGGTCTTGAACCACTCAATTTGACCCGCTTAATCTCAATAATTTTAATATATTATTATTTAAATTTTATAACCACAATTTAAATTTCAACTCAAGAAAATTTTAAAAAGAAGTTACAAATGGATAGATAAATCCTAAAAGATATAAAATAGATAGTAATTAATACCTTCATTATAGGAACATACATTACATTAATGCAAATAAATAGTCTTTAAACGATTGAAATTGGAGATTAAATTGAGCTCAATTGATAATTCTCTTATAATGGATAAAGGTTTGAATGGATTAAGATTAAACTCAATTTAAATTATCTTGAGTCCAACCCTTAAAATTCTGAAAAAATTGAGTAAGTTACCTATTATTGGGCTATTTTAGACACCCCTAAACGAAACTAAAGGCACCCATACTGACCAGTTGACAGCAACTATATAATAATAATAATAATAATAATAATAATAGAATTGTACCAAGACTCCCCATCAAATAAATAATAGAATTGTACTAGACTCCCCATCAAATAATTACATACATTGCATCAGTATTAATTTGGATTAGCTTGAGAGAGAGAGAGAGAAAGAGAGTCTTTGTTTTTTGTTTTTCGGTGCCGTTAGACCAATTTAGAGATAGCTCAGTGGAATATATATATACTTTTAATCGTAATCAAAGGTGTTTTCTTGTCTCTCGTTTCTTTTCTAAAAAAATAAAGAATCTAATGGATCGAACTCATATGTTGTACCTGGTCGTTTAAATTAGATCTCTTTTCGGACAACAAGAAGGAGTTTACTATGGTCAGTGCAGTGAGGGTACTTGTAAATCACTAGGTAGCCATACAACACTCATCCCAAGTTTGACTTATCCCAAACAATCCTCGACGTACTAGCCCTATAACGGAGTCAGACCCAACCACACTCTCTTAATATAAAGTGGAGCAGAACCGTTTGCCTGATCTGACTCCCATTTAAATCAAAATATCTCCTTCGCTTTGCTTCTTGAAGATGACAGTTTGTGTTTATAATTAATTAATTATTAATTAACAGCTTGCCCTCCTTGTTTTCCACATTTAACACTGCAAAGCAAATATATATATCAACCACATATGAACTTAGAATTTAAAGACTTCGGGTATATAAAATATGTTTTCTAAGCTAAAAGTTTTTAAAATTTTTGGGTGCACTAAATATGATCTCTAAGCTAAATTTATAATAAAAATAATAAAATAGTGCTCTAGCTGGATTCAAATCCTGATCTCGCAGATGATTCTTTTGCTTAGTACCAGCAATACTAGAGCACACGTATGTTCTTCATGGGTACACCTCTAATATCAACACATTCCTTCTTCTTTTAAACAAACAAACACAACTTGCCACGAAATAAAAACTTACATTCTCATTTCATCTATCTCATATTTAATTCTCTTAATTTACTAGCAAGAATCATATATTTTTAGTTTGCTGCCTAAACTAGTTAAGTATATCATCGATAATTTATAGGATTGTATTAATTACATGATTCGATGTATATAGGTTTCGGCTCCAATCCTTATTATTCTCTATAGTGGTGCTTTTAACAAAAAAATATAAATCATTGTGACATTATATTATAATATAGAAAGATATATACAAAATACAAGTATTTTTATATCTAAAAATCCCAGAAATGAGCTATTTTTTAATAGGGATCCTGACATATACACGTATGACATATTTAAAACATACACTTTGCATATCTTTCTCATGCAATGGCTTATACACACAATTTGAAAACACATATATATTGGTTCAGTTGGCCACACATACAATTGACATCTTCACATATATGCACAAACATCCAGCTTGTGCGCTTTGAAAACATACACATATACATATGCATACAATTAAAAATTCAGATACCGTATTCATGCTATTTCATGTATGCAGATATAAATAGCAGAAACAGACATTAAAATCCATCATAATTAGGCTTCAAATTATTGGAGACTAGAAACATCAAATAATTAGACCTAAAGTATCGTTATTTCTGAAATTTTCTCGATTTAAATATTCATGGCTACCCCAAAAAGAAAAAGAAAAAGAAAATGATTATAGAGAAAGTATAATATGGGGAATCCATAAGAATGGCTTCATCATCATATAACAAAAATACAATGCAGGCATTGAATTTATTCACTTAAATTTCTTAGGGCGAATGTTAATTAATAATTTCGTCGTATTCTTTAAGAGAAGTACTCAGAAATGATTTTGTTCCTTATTCTTCAACTCTAGTGCCATACAGGCAGCGCAGCAGGCTTATTAATTTTCTACTTATACAATATGATCATCACATGTTTATATGATACTAAAACAAACCCTATATTGAATTTGAAATAATATCCAGCATACACTTCCATTTGAAATCTCTCATTATTTATGAACTTAGCACTATTATTGTATATATATGTAGAGTAAAAACTCCAACAGTTAAAGCGGGCACACTCTTTGTTTAATTGAATTTTTCACCTAAATAGTCAGGTGGATTGACAGTGACTGAAAACTTCAAGAGAGGTAAGCAAATTGAATGCACAGTAAAAACGGATATCCTCACACACAAACATACAACATTATTTAGGTTTTCCTCAAACAACAAGTCGAGGTCGATTCTATGAGAACCACCACTAAATCATAGATATATAGTAGAATCGGCATATATACCCTGTTGCTGTTCCACTGATTCTGTCTGTTCTTGAGAACAAATTTCCAAATAGAAATACAACATAACTTCCGCACGCCATTTAATTAACTCATGCATGCATGAAAACTAGCTAGTACTATTGAAGGCAGAAATTATATAACTGAAGCAATAATATAAAATAAGAGAAGGGAGACAACTCTGGGAAAAATAATCCAATTTTGCAGTAATATGCTTTCATAGATAGAACTAGTGCACCAAACAAACAGAATACAAAGTATGATCAGCAGACAGAGCGAGCATCTAGAAATCAGAAGCTTCATTTTAGTGATTCTATAATTACTATTGTTGATGAGATTGCACACCTTGCCAAGCCAGAACAATTTCCTCAAAAGCTGGTCTGATAGTTTGCGTCAACATGTTTTGGTAATCAATCGCATCACCACTTGACCTACTCAGCTCAATGAAGTAATAATGGGATTCAGAAATTTCAAATATTTGCACGTCAATGCACAGAGTTTCATATCTGCTCTCATTTAATCCCTCTAATCTAAGAAATCCACCCTCTTTCTTCTTTATTTCAAGGTTCAGACTCCTGCCAACTTCCACAAGCTTGGATATGATGATTGGGGCAGGCTTCACTGATGTGAATCGCAGCTCCCCCTTTTGATCATTGTTTATGAATAAACCAGACAAATTAAACCAGCAGAGGATATGAAATGCACTAAAGATTGCAGGTTTCATCAACTCTAACTTAGTGTCGGAGGAAGAGGTACTACTCTCCAAATTTGAACTGGAAACAGCATCACCATCTGCAATAACATTTTGGTTCACTACTTGTTTAGTTCCCACATGTGAAGATCCCAATCCTTTCTTAAACCAGGAGCTTTCCTTGATTTTGGCTATTGAAATCCTTTTATGAGGGTTTGGGTCAAGGATCCTAGAGAGAAGTTTACGCACTTCTAGAGGGAACCAATGAGGGCATTTGTACTCTGCCCTGCATATCTTCCTATACAGATTCATAAGATTTGAGTCATAAAATGGAAGATAACCAGCCAACAAGACAAACAAAATCACCCCACAAGACCAGATGTCAGCTTTGACACCTTTATATCCTTTTCTACTAATCACCTCAGGAGCAACATATGCTGGTGTACCACAGGTTGTGTGGAGTAACCCATCTTGCCGCTTAGACTCAGCTAATGCACTCAAACCAAAGTCTGAGACCTTTAGGTTTCCATTCTCATCCAGTAGGAGATTTTCTGGTTTGAGATCACGGTGATAAACATCTCGGCTGTGGCAAAATTCAACTGCGTTGATCAGTTGCTGAAACAACTTTCTAGCAACATCTTCCTTGAGCCTCCCCTTTGTCAGTTTGTTGAAAAGCTCGCCACCTTTGGCATGTTCGATCACAAAGTAAATCTTACTCTTAGTTGCCATGACCTCGTATAGCTGCACAACATGTGGATGTTTGACCAATGCCATAACAGATATCTCTCGTTTCGTCTGTTCAGTCAGTCCAGCTTTCTGAACCTTCTCTTTATCAATTACTTTAATGGCTACAGTCTGTCCGCTTTCCAGATTCCTTCCATAATAAACCTTACCAAAGTTGCCTTGACCTAATAATCTCCCCAATTCATATTTTTGCATCAATGCATTTCCATTTTTCACCATTTTCAACAAACAATCCTACTTTATACTATAATTCTATAAATAACACTCCTGCTGATATGATAATTCTCTATTTACAGGCACGAAACCTTGTTTCAGTGTTCAACCATCTGCAACAAGGCCGTGCTTCAGCACAACAACATTCTTAATCACTGTTACTTCATTGTGCATCTGGTACGAGAACTTAAATGCTCTATGAGCTGCGAATTTGAAATCATCATGTAGAGAACAGAATAATCCCAATGCAGATGGAAACTCAGAGGCTTCTAAGAGCCAAGAGCTGTTGTTTAACCCCATCTTTCTGCATCCTAAAAATCACAAGATAAGAAAAAGAGACTCAAAACTACAGCTTATTATTAATTAACTTAAACGCAAAAGCAAAACTAGAGATAGACAACAAAAACAAAAACAATATATCCAACGTCATCACACAAGTCTAGGGAGGGTAGAGTGTACACACACCTTACCCCTACCTTGGGAGGCGGACAAGAAAACGATGCCCAAATAAAAAGTAATAGTAGTACAATAGAAAATGAAAAGATTTCGTTGAAATTGTTCATTTGGAAATGTTCAAAAAAGCTATACCACCAATGCAGGTTAAGCAGTCATTATAGATAAACTTTACTTCCATTTAAATAACTACAAAATTTAAACAGAAGACAAATCATTTTCTATTACAAGGCTAAAATACCCTAGCAAGATCTGTTTCTGAATCTAAAATTAGATTCTTTATATCTTGATTCTGGACCACCATTCCATCATCAAATCGGGCCCAAAAAAGCAAAACCATTTCAATCCCCCCCTTTTTTACCAATCTAAAAATAGATATAACTAAAGCATCTCCGATCAAATCGATAATTAGCATTTAAACAAAAATGAAAAAGGCAAACATGAACAAGTGTAAATTCCACATTCACACAACATTTACTAAAAAAATCATCGAATTCTCGACCATGAATAATCAAAATTCACAAACAAATCGAAATTAAACTTAAAATGGGTATAAGAAAGAACCTGAATACAAGTAGAGACGATCCAAGGAGAAAAATACGAGGTGTGTTGGTAATTTGGTGAAGTTCCCCTTTATATATACATGAGAGCATTAAAGTTGTGACTAAATAATTTGTAATGTTCAGATTTTGTTGCCTTGATACAAAATAACTGTCTGTAAGTGAAAAGTTGGTAAGCTCCTGCGATCGTATCTAGACACGTATTGGACATCTGTACAAAACAGGCAGAATTTTCGTGAATTGTTTGAAAAGAATATTGAAAATGCTCCTAAACTAGGTATGAATTATTAGTTTCATCCTTAACTATTGACAAATTTAAAAACACTTTTTTATTTAACTAACAGAACTTATATAGACCCGCGATCTTTCAACATGAGTGAAATACATCCTTAATTTAGCGTCACGTTTAAGATATTTTCTACACTTCTCTTGACTTTTCTTTTCATTAAGAGTTTTATGTTATTACAAGAATTTGAAACCACTTGTTAGGTCATGTGATAGATCTGGAGTTGTATCTAAGTTTAATTAGTCAAGTATAAAGGAGTGTTTTTATGACTGTTAATAGTTCGGAGACAAAACTAATAATTTGCATCAAGTTTAAGGGTTTATATAATAACAATAAATTATGGATTATTATGTAGAAATTACTTAATATAAGGACTTTAGAGTCTTTAATTACTCTTAATCTCAGTGTGAAAATGCTCATTACATATTATATTTCCAATAAAATAATTAATCACAAATTTTCTTATAATTTGTATTAGGTCCCAAGCATCTATGTAAGTTTATTCCTTAGATGGCTAGGAGGGAAAAGAATATTATAAACAAATCCTTTTTTCAAATACTTTTGTGCAAAAGTATTTAACAGTTTATTTTGAAAGATGAGAGAGCTTTAATATGAATTATTTTTAGTCATGCTTTTCTTTTTATTAGAAAGAAAGCTTTAAAAACCATTAGTCAAGTTTTTTGAATGTTAAAAATGCTTATTTTTAAGAATGTGATGTTTTCTAGTTAAATTTTTTTTTAAAAAAAATAAGTATTTCTGAAGAGTAATATAAACTATTTTTTCAGAAGTTAAAATTTTTTTGAAAGCACTTTAGAAAAAAATCCTAGTAAAACTTAGAAACTAGTCAATTTTAAACTAAATATATTGGTTACATGCTCTATTTAAATATGACTCATTAAGACTCACGTATGTACAACTACATTTTCTAGTGACAGTTAAATAAGAATAAAAAATGTGAGATGCCAGCGGAATGATCGATTGGATAGAATCTAGGATTGTTTTCTTTCCATTGCATACTTATTTGTGTGTCGAAAATATAAAATTGTGTTAGATTCTTGAAATAGAACAAAATAAAATTGGGTCGACTGAATAAATTGATATAATTGCTTGTTCAATTAATTTATAGGGAAAGAAAAAACAACGAGCTTTGTTCTTAATTTGAATAATTCTCAATCTAATTAGACGTTAAAAATTTATCAACTTCTAATGCAGGAAGGGTTTCTTTTTTCATGAGTGAATTTTCAATTTTTTTAGTGAACCTTAACTATTATCATTTTCTTATTATGAAGATGTGTGTAGAAGAAACAATATATTGATAAAGAAAGTCTTTTTGAAGTCGAAAGAGCAATTAGGTCACAGAATAAATGAACTTTACCATTTTATTATCTTATGACACTATAACATAGACCAATTAAATGAAATGAAAAGAAAAAAATATGATAGAGAATCTATTGAAAGATTACATGTATTAAAGGTATATTCTTACTATAATACTTTGCTTTAACTATATCGTTATAAGTATCGCCCTCAAAATCTTTCATCTTGAGTTCAAATCGAATTTTAAATGGAATAAATTTAAAGATAGTTACACCCACATAGCTCGCAACAACACATCTTTCTATATTCACTTATTTTTCAAGAGTATATTTATGAACTTGCTTATGATCGTTTAAATATAAATAGGTTGATCATGTTGAATAATTCAGGTTATAACAATATATTTAGTTTTGCAATTGTGAATCATTTTCTTATTTCTACTAATGTACCTAACAAAAAATATTTTTTTGGGTGCAACAAGAGTTTATATTCTCAAATAATATTTGAGGGATTCACATTTATTAAGAAAAAAATCATTCTCTTTGATTAATATCTTCTTTCGAAGACAAAAATAATTTTAAATCTCATAATTTAAAATCACTTAATCAATGATTCCCTTCTTAGAGGACAATATTTTACATCTAAATTGTATTAGATATATTAATACCCTACCCATCTTTGGAAATTTTGTTTCAGAGTTTCGTTCGGATTAAATATATCATTTTTGTACATTTATTATGATTTTTTCTCCCTGAATATTGTAATTTGAATAGCCTTATTACTTCAAAGAAGTGTGGTTATTATTTTTCAAAAAGAAAATCTTCTTTTTTCATATAATTCTTATGTATATAAGTGTGAATACATTTTCATTTTTTCTACAGAACAAATCTTCTTAATTTAGTCAACATCTTTTGAAGCCCTTTTTGAACGAATATAATTTTATGAAAAAATATAACGTTTTGTAGAAGTTTTTACTAAGAATTTTCATGTTACCCTATAACTATCAAGGATCATTCCATGCATTATGTCAGGTATGAAGAAAAATCAATTGTGTTTCAAAAAGGACGTTTCTTTATATTAACAAATGAATAGTTTACTTATTAATTTTTAGCAACATCACTTTCTATGTGCTTTCACCAATAAAAATCCATATAAATTAATTATTCAACCATTTTTCGTGACTTTATGTGTTATCTTTCAAGTGTGTGTCTAATCATTTAATGGTATGTAGTCAAATGTTAAAAAAATTCATTTATAATCAATAGTGCAATTAAAATTTTCGATATCCTTCTCTTTCAACTATTTCTTTGATTGAATTATTAGCTAAAACACACTTTTGTACCATATTAGAGCATTCCATTAGCAAATTGATTTGGTCCAATTTATCAAATTATAATATCATTGACCTATTTGGACATATAACTTTTAAAAACTTCGATTAAACGATAAGTTATTACTCAAAAGTGTTTTTTTAATTTATTAATTAAACATAAAAAAAACACCAAAAATACTTTTCCGAAACACTTTTCAAAATAAATTAATTTAAAATTTTCACCAAATAAATCATAAGTGACACTTTCCTTTCTTTTCTTTTTCTAAACTTCATATTGCATTGAAGACGCAAATTTAAGCCCCATAATTATCCTTTACATTGTTAGTTTTAAATAATTATCCAGGCAAGATTATTAATTTTGTAACAACTAGAGTACCTTATTTCATGCCTAAAAGGCTAAGATCACCCAAGTGTATAAGAAATTATATATCTCACTAGTTTTTACTCTCCTTGATTTTCTCCTCTTCTCTCCCTACATTGTACATGATTTTCTTACCATGTCTATCAGTTGAACATATGTTAAGCTAGAAAAATACTTAATTTTTTAGAAAAAATAAAAAACTATAAACATAATCTACACACTATTTAAGATATATGATACATCACATACTTTAGATACAAATATTCTTTATTTAGATAAATTAGATGCATTGATATAGTATCTTCAATGGAAATTTTGAGTATTTTGAATTTTTTATTGTTTCTATTAGAGTTTTGAAGAATCGTAGTAGTAGAAGAAGAAAGAACCTAAATTATGTGCTTTGTTTTTGTAATAAAGATACAAATGCGCCTCATTAAGGGGGATGCAAGATTTTCTCCTATATTTATTGGATTTTGTTGTTTTAAATTTGCGCAATTTTCTCCTTAAATATCATACATTGTATCACACATCATTTTTGCAGAGGGTTTTTAAAAAAAAAACATAATTATTTTTTTGAAAAAAAAATAAAAATAGGGGTAGGTTGGGTGGAAGGCGAGGAGTGGGGTAATTTTATTTATTTTTTTGAAAAAAAAAATTAGGGATAGATTGAGTGGAAGGTGGGGGGAGGGCGCCCGGGGGTGGAAGGGGTAATTTTTTTTTGTTTTGAAAAATGAAAAAAAATTAGGGGTAGGTTGGGTGGAAGGTGTTGGGGGGGAGGGGGATTTTATTTTTCTTTTTGAAAAACATAAAAAGAAACTCAATTTAATAATGGAAAACATTTTAAAAAAGAAATTGGGGAGGGGGTGAGGGTGGTGTTGGAGTAGAGTTTTTTAAAGAAAAAACATAAAAAAAAAAAAAAGTGGGGGTAAGGGGGATGAAGGCGGGGTGAGGTGGAGGGGGATAAAAGCGGGGTGCGAGTTAGAAAAAATAAAAATAAAATA